ACTATCCCCTTCAGCTGTGTCTAAACCGTTTTGGCAAGCTTGGCTACTCCAAGGTTGAACAAAGAATATATTCCAATTGCTTTTTGAGTTGCTTAAATCCTGAAAGGAATAGATAGAAAAATAAATCAATTTTTTTTAAGAAGAAAAAGCGCATCTTGAAAATAAATGATAAAAAATATTTGACTTAAAATGTGTTCGTTCTTCAGCTTCGGAGTGGTTTTATATTTTTTTAGTAGTGTCGATCGATCGAGGCAACTGAGAACAGTATCCGGTTTATGGTAGTGCGTGAAGCTAGAAGGTAAAGCTTTCCCCTAACAACTTTTTAGATTTCAATCAAAGGTACAATAACGCCAACTCTTAAAACTAAACTCCAGGAAACTTACAATATCTTAATAATGTTCAAACTAAAGCATATGGTAAGCAGATAGAAATTACTTCTCATTGATTTCCTCACCATTTCCTTTACATAAAAATTGAAACTTCCTTCAAGGTCAGGGTTATGAACGGTTACCAATTGACAGTTTTCGATTCCTAAAACAAACGTGCAGTTCTTTCTTTCATATTTTTATTTTACTGGCACTTGCTGAAGGCACAAAGCAAAACCAATGCCGTTATTTAAATATTCTGCATTATTTCGCTTATGATATATCTCCATTTATTTTCGAGATAATATAATTACAATATCTCGTATTCATGTGAAAACCTACTTCTCATGAAAACTTTTATCTGGGAGGGAGCTAAAAACTGCTGACGTATTCCAAATTTAAGAAAATTAATTGGCTTGTCCACGTTCTTATCTATTCTTCCCTCTAAACTAGGAAACCAGACCTTAAGCTAGCTTTTATGATCGCTTTTCATAGAGTTCTTTTATAAGTTCCAAAATATAGACCCACTTGGTCCAATTTCAGTACAGATAAATTTTATTTCAAATTAATATTAAAGGCTCATTTTCTCTATAAAGTTTTGGAATAGAAAGTTTTACTGATTGTAAGAAAGACTATCCGGTTGTAAATTCAAAAAATTGGGCGAAGCAAATCGAACCAAATCAAACATTTACTTTAATACAGAACGCCTACTTACCTCAGCGATTTTTATTGGGAAATATTACGACTTTTTCAAAGTGGGGCCTCATATTAGCTTAGATTCGCCTTTATTATTATTCACATTGTCCGCATTAAAGAACGCCAGCAGGCCAATCAACGCTTTTTGTTCACTGAACTGGTAAGTGTTTATATAGCGTTTCAGCCAAATATCTATTACGGTGTACATATTTCACATGATGGATCGCGCTCATTTTTAAAGCCGATAAATGTGAACTGCATTTATGTCACGCCTCAACTAGTTTTACAACGCGCGAAAGTCAGATAAACGAGAGAACGTAGAGACAGACAAACCTACATCGACTGGGCTTACTAAGGCTACATATGCTTTATGAAGTCGTTGTTGTGTGATGTTGGACGTTGTCAACAAGAATGGCAAGCCTCCTTTGTATATTAGAATTTACAGGTTTTCTCTATGCGTAAAGGACGACCACAAGCAAGGGACACACGAATCAATAAAGTGTGTAGATATGACTTGCGGGGTTTCCTCTTTTCATTATGCTAATTGATTCAAAATCACTTCTTTATTCGATCAACATCTGCCTTTCGTTTTCAACTTACACAACTCCTCCGATAGTCTTATGAGGGTATTTATTACATTGAAGACGTCCTTGCTTTCGCCCCTAGTTAAAATTTAATGAAATGGAAATATTAATTCAGCTTAGCGTTTACCGTTTAATGCACCTGAAGAATAATATGTATAGCGGACTGTATTTAATAACAGAACTGAAGCAAGAGAGTGATGAAGAAATAGATTAATATATTTTTGTCAGATTTTGTACACTTTATCTTTCTAGCCTTGCATCTAGTATATAAGCATTCATTATGCTTAGGTGATTTTAAAAGATTTTGTTACATATTTCTTGCTGTGTAGTATGGATATTGAAAGTAAATCTATATTATTGTGTGCTGGTGTTCTCATTTTTTCTCAAAATGCAATTTTTGTTAATCTCAATCCAAAAAGCGTTAGTAATTTATGAGTTTATTTTAATGCACTGTTCGTAACTGCTGCCTTCACATTCGCTCGGTGTGAAATATTGAGACGATTATCAAAACTCTTGGTCTGTTAGAAGGCAAATTTTGCTAAATAGAAAGCATGCAATATGCATTTATAAAACTAAATCATAATCTGTGAAGTATAATATGTGTATTTTTCGATTATGGGCAATTAACCTTAAATTTATCATCTTATTTGTTATTTCTACCATAATTTCGTCGCTGTAAGGCTTTGTTGACTCTATTTATTAATGGATTTTAAAGACTACCGGATAACTTAGACCATATGCTCGCCTGTATTGAAAATTGTACCATACTTGAGTTTGGAACATTGAGTTGTTAGTCTCGATCCTTTGCCTATTCAATTACTTGCCGATCTTCATCTTATGTGAAAAAAATTCTAGAATATACGATTTCATAAGCCTGCTTTGGAACGTTCAGAAAACTTTTGTATAACTTAATATAATTAAAAAACCGCAGAACTATACATTGAATATTGTTTTTTTTTTTCCTTTTGTGCTTCTTAGATTTGATAGACTTTCTATACTTGTTTTATGAATTGATCGTTACTATCATCCTTTTAGTCTACAATAAAGATTTTCGACTTCAGCCGAAACTGACAACCTAATTTGCATTCTGCGATGCTCTTGCTTGCAATCGTTCATCAAACGTAAAAGATAATCGTTGCGTTCTCAGCCAGTAACCTTGAACAGCACTTTCTACTGACAATATTACGCTGTTCTACCTCAAACACTAACTGCCTATTCTATTGCTATCGCTTTCATAGTTTTCCAAATTGACCAAATTCATTACTTTCCCATAGGCATTTTTGTACATTTAAATCTCTATTGAGGGGATATTCGATAAAATTAAATTTTCGAATCAGAGCACCAAGCTGTCAAAATAACCAAAAGGCCTCCAAACCTCAGAAACGATTATTTAATGCGATCTGTCAGGACTTCATTTGTTTCTTTAAGTTTTTGAAAATAATTAAATACCTTAGCACTTAGGCTTGTACTTTAATAGGCAAAAATTGGCATATAACATCTTTCGAAGTGAGTAGGCTTCTTGGGTAATAGCTTAATAATGAGTTTAATTGAAAGTAAGCGATATTCAGTATGAATAGGAAAACGAAAGGAAGAATATTATGCCGAGAGTCAGAAGCTCTCACATTATGGAAAATAAAATTCAATGCACATAATTCAGTACAAGGAGTACTATCCTATCACTTTAGTTGTTACAGTGCAAGTTAATTGGAACACTGTTATTAATTTGTAATTATCGTCACCAACACTGTACTAAAGTAAAGGAAGGGTAATAGGGTAAAAAAAGTAAATAAATAAAATCAAGAGTCATAAAGTCTACAGATGCAAATTTTATATACGATCTCGAGATCTGTGAGAATTATCAACAACAACAACAACACAAAGAACAATCGTAACAATAATAACAAAAATTAATTAGAAATTCTAAACATTTCATTCAGTCAGTCTATCAAAGCAAGAGAACAAGACGGGCATAGAAGTACACACTCTCTCGACCATTTTTAATATAATATAAATATGTATATACAAAAGATTTTGTTTGTTTATCTCTTTTCGTGTCGTTTTCATATCAAAAGTTCGAGCGACTATTTTCAACGTACTTAAGTGAGACCAGCGCGCACTCATTTCGAATAAGTATTTAATGAATGCATTTAAATGCATACGTGTAACGTTTGTATAATTTTTTTCTTCTCTTTATATTCCCAAATACATTATAAAAAAAAATATATATATATATATATATATAATATAAAACGTAGTAGTAGTAAGTATACGGTGATATGTGGCGGCATGTGCTTAACCCAGTGAACTTTTATAAACGAATTAACATGAAATAAAATGCTTAAGAGAGTAGAGTGTGTTGTGTGTGTTGTTGGTTTTTCTGTTAATTTCGTACAGTGTGTAGTTCAGTGTTGCGAGCAGCACAGTTTTATTTTGTCGTGCATTACTAAAGACAAATAACGTAAATAATAATAATAATAATAATAAAAAAAAAAGCATTAGAAAACTTCCGGTGACACTTAAGCAAAAACACGCAGAGAAAGAAAAAAGTTATACAAAAAAAAGAGTATTATGTAAAAAATTTTCATTAAATATTCAATTATTTTGCTTCTTTTTTTTTTTTCTTTTTTATTTTCTTCTTTTTGAAAACGTGTGTGTTATTGAAATTTATTTAAAAGAAGAATAAAAATAAGAAAGCTGTGCGTTATATTCGCCTTGAACGAATCTTTTATACCCACCACCTCAATATACACATAAAATAAAAAATAAAATAAAATAAAAATAAAAAAATATGAAAGTTGCTTTTGGGATTTTTGTTTGCGTGTCGTTATTCGAATAATTAATTCCCCTCAATCAATTTATATCATATTTGAATTCGATATTTCCATAGTTCACAAAACTATCAACAAGAATATCTTTAGCTTTAGAGTCGTGATTGCGCTCGAATATTTTTATTAGGGAGTTCATTTTTCAACTAGATACAGAGCTGACCTCATGTCTAGTTCTAAACTTAAAAAAATATCACCGCGAAAGGGATCAAAAAAATTATATTAAAATCTCTCCATTAGTCGAGAATATTTGCACTTTAAGGAATCTTCTTAAAGTGAGGCATATGTGTCAGTGTTGTGTTGTCTTACAAATCACTTCTTGCTGAGTACAACAAGTATAAATTATCGGGTGCTTGTTAATTAATACAACAAGTGACGAGTCAGTCAGGTTTTTATTTCATTGGTCATTTCATTGCTCTCTTGAATAATAATAAAATGCATATATATTTTTTTAGAGAAAGATTTCCATAATAATATACTACTACTACTACAACTAGTTTTCGAGCACAAAAAGAATTTATTTGAAAAAATAGTGTATAAAAAGTTTGTAAAAAAAATTGAAATTCAATTTATAAAAATTACTTGTGAAAAGTTTTGTTTTTCAAAGGTGTTCGCTATACATCTCTCTGTACACGATAAAAAGTAGAAAATTTTAATAGATGTTTTTATCTGCTAACAACGCCGCTGTTGCCACAGTTGCTGCTGACAGTGTTTCAACGATAAATTTTGGCTGCGAAATCTACACCTGCAACAACAGCAATTCAAACAATTGTAACCTTAGTGATCCTCAAAAACAACGTCATTCCTTGGCTGCATCTCTATTGACGTCACCATCAGCCACAACTAACAACGATCGTTTATTATTTAGTGAGCTTTCTAGAAATAACTTAATCTACACATCTCCTATCGCTACTAGCACTCGTTCGACTACACTTTGCAGTTGCGTTTACTATTACAATTCCACCTTTGGTGGCACAAAAATGCTTAAATACCCTCGCACTTCTTCCAGTAATTCATCCGGTTTCTTTGAAGATGACGATCTTATGGAAATTTATCAAACACCACCGCAATCCCCCATATCTTCGCCTAACTTATTATTATCATCACCGTCGCCACCAGTTGCAAGCTACGGTACATCGAATGTCGCTCATTGTTTACAGCGACATATAGTACGCATGTTCAGTGCTAATGAGTGAGTTTTTTCTTTTTTTCTTTTCTTTTTCCTTTTTATATTGTTTACATTCATCACATTACACGTACGTCAACAACAAAGTCTGAATTTATGCACATGTTATTGCATTAGCTACGAAAAATATTTCCTATATTTTCTTGGCTTGATATGGAAGTGTCGCTTTTATAAAAGTCTTAGCGCTTCTTTTTTTTTTTTTTTTGTCTCACTTTTCTTTATGTGAATAATGAAGCACGATAGTAATTTTGTTTTCAAAGATGATAAAATGTCTATTTTAATAATGAATAGATAAGATTGGGTTTGTAGCGTCAAAACTTGCTTATAGTCTTGATTAGGATAAAGTTGTAGTCCTATCTTTCTATCCGTTGGTTTTCGGACATTCCCATGATTTGGACTTGAAAACTGAAACTTCTTCATGTTCCTCAAGCAAACGCAATGAATAAGTGACATTTGTTACACTACGAGGGAGTATGAAACGAAAAAAGGTCGCACCGTAATTCACCTATAGTAGTCTCCCAATAAGTAACGTAAGAATGATATAATTTTCTCAGTAAATTATTGATTGAAGAAGGGTTTATTGTTGTCTGTAGTGTAATATAGACTGTGTCCCTTCTTTCTTGTGTGATTTCTTAGTATGACTAAATCTCTTATTTCGAAAATTATATCGTTTTTGTAAAGCAAATCCTAATTTGTTTTTCAATTCAACGAGATAATTATCAATTTTATCTTCCTTCTTATTATTGTTATTATTATTATTATTAATTTCGCCAGAGAAATAAATTCTGAGACTAAACGCTTAAAAGCACTAGCAGCTAAGGCTATCGGCTTTTATTAAAAACTCTACCGCACTTGAGATTCGAACCCACAACCCAATGGTCAAAGTCAATACTTGCTAGTCAAGATTCCTCGCCTTCGGCTACTCAGGCGGATCCTTCTTATTATTGTGCGCAATATCGCCATGCATGTACGGTAGTCTGCGCATAATAAAAAAAAGTTTAAACGGGGTGCGATTTATGTCGGCACGTGGTGAGGTGAGGTGTTGTGTGGGATGTATTTCTGTCATTGATTACTTTGCACAAATGGGAGAAAATGGGGGAGAAATTCCTAATGTCTCGTGATGGTAAGGTGTGGAAAATTTTTGCTCTATATATAAACGAGTTTGCAGGTCAGTTTGTTGTTGAATTCAGTTCCATTGTCTGATTCCAATATTTTGAAAATTCAAGGTTTTAATAGAAGGTACTCCGCACCTTTCCTATAGATTTTGTTTTCTTGGTCTCTCAAGAGTATGCGCGAACTGCATAGTTAATGTATATATTTATATGGATGTAAGTGATCCTATAGTGTCTACAAGTTAGTATTCGCGGTTTCTAAACTCGGATCGAGATTACTTTGACCGTAGCTATAGTGAATGTTCATCTAGTTACCGACTTATTTAACGATTGGAGACGCAGACGTATAAAAAAAAATATATGCAAAAACATAAACAAAAAAAAACAATTTGTTAACAGTTGCGATCTTTGCCAAAGAAAGAAAATCTTGAAGCATAACAAAGTACCGTTAGAAAGAGAACAGACACAACTTCAAAAAGTTTTAAAGTAATCTATATTGACACACATATTGCAATTGCATAATATGATTCGTTATTGTAACCTCAACATAGTCACTTGCTTGTGCTGATAAAAATATTTAAATATAACTTGCACTTTGTATTATGAAACAAAGGAGTCCATGTATAAGCTTTGGCTGTGACGGAAACTACTACCCCAACTGACAAGGGATTTTCTAGAGTCAAATTTTTACTTAAAATAATGATAGGATCTTATTACGCTATCTCCAGCTTTACGGAATGGTAAGGGTTTTTAGAACTAACTGCTATTCCTAGGATTTTGGATGTGTGCGTAAATATTTTGTCTCCAATACTAAACACCAAATATATCCATCTCTTTTAGCTGACCAAACTTTTATTGCCCATACAGCTGACTTTGAAATCTTCTGATAATTCGTTGAATACCTTTAGAAGAGAATTAACCACATTCTTAAACACGTAAGCTTCTCTTGTTGCCGGCATGAAATGATTACTAGAAATTTTATAATATATATATATGTACATATATTATTGTAGCCCTCTTGTACACGATAATTACATACCTTATAGCTTCGTTTATAGTGGCCTATAATAAACACAAAAAAATTAGTTAATCAGTTACCTGTTAGTGACGAGTATACTCGCCATGGATAAATGTTTATTTTTCTTTTGTATAACCTGCATATTTGTCAATACACCTATAGTTAACGTTTGTCACACAATTTTTAAGTGCACGTCATTCAGCAGATAATTAGTTAAAAGTCCAAGATGAAAGGTACATGCAACCGATCGTAAATTCATATTCGTATCAAAATGATGCTTTGATGCCCATTTGTCCCCAGTTTTCTGATTTCCATCAGACTTTGTTTCAATAACATTATTTACAAACACCTGCTCATAAGTTTGCGAATATTTTTAAATGGAGTCATTGGCACTCTGAAAGTCACAAAGATCGAATTGTGGCCAAACAGCTGAAATTATACTTTACTTATTGCTTGCCTCTTGGCAACATATGCACTTTCCGGAAAAAATCCCTACTTACAGATTTTACACACTAATCAATACCCACGAATATGTGATTTGAGCTTATTGCCCAAAATAATACCTAGGCCATATATCTCGCTTACTTAAGATCCGGCAAAGCATCAAAGGCGCAATCAAAGTCCAGCTAATTGATCGACCGATTTTTAACATCTCATCTGATATTCATTACGGCAGCGCATGCTCTTATAAAAATTCAAAGCAAACAGTTACGAAGTTTCGCTCTTTAGGACAAGTGTCACATCTTTCATGTGTGCTTTCTCCTGATCATAACGTATATAATGACGTACTGCTAATATTCCTTTGTAAAGGAAATATAAATTTCTTCAATTATTTTTTTTTTTGTAAAACTGGTTTCCACTACATGTTGATTAATCACTCAACGATCATTTGTTTATTATTTACTATTTGTATGTTAAGGTGTGTGAAAGTAATTAAAAACATTTTTCAAACCGCATACTTGATTCTCAATAGTACATTATATAACGGTATATATCTTGTCACACAATTAACAAAATGCGGAATTATTTATTTATATCTAACATTTCCCAATTAATCTAATCAATGAAATTAGCGATAACTTTTAATTTGCTTTGCAAACATAATAAAATGCAATAAAATTAATTAATAAACGAAAAAATGATTTGAAAGCAAATCAATCCCCTTTCCAGACTACAAGCTAAGATTAAAGCCAAGCTAAAACCCCAGTTCTCACGATTCTTTTTGTACACAAATCTCTCCGCATTGAGAGATCAGTTATTTCATGTCAGGTCAGTTTTTCCGTTCAGAATAAACATGATATTGGGCTCAATCCGCCGGTACATTATATAATCCTTTAGTGCAGGATTGACTGCATGAATGCACTGAATCTTATGTAAAGCATTAGCTCCGAAGAAAGATTTTTGGGACGTCGTAGACTTCAGTGAAAGTCTAAGTGCAGATCGATAGTGTTTCTTTAATTTAAATAGCTTAGTCACATATAAGATGTTTATTCATATATATGGGTAAATTTTTACTTTCAAGACAAAATTCATTTACAACTGAAAGCTTAATAAATTGGCAAAAGTCTGAGAATGAGTACTCCTTCTTTGATTTAGGTATTCTGTTTGAACGATTGTTAACTAAAGTTAGATCTGTGGCAGGATTTATTAAAGTTTTGTTCTAGAGCACAAATAAGCTTGAAATACGGTTCTCTTCTGGTATAGTCATTTTCTTATCCGTATCATGTTCAATTTTTACACAGATCTTGCTCTTTGCACTAGTCTACTCTCAGTTTGATGTAAATCGGTTGTGTGTGTGCTTCGAGACCAGATGTAATACACATGTTCTGCCTTATTTTTTCCTCCCTTAAGTTATTTATTTATGGATAGCGATCTTTCTAGTTTTAAACTTGTTTTCATTTCTTTAAATTTTTAATTGTAATTATAATTACAATTCAATCTTAAATATTGCTTAGTTTATCCGAATCTATATTGCAACTAAATTCTTTATAAATAAGATTACTTTAATTCCAAGAAATCGGTGTTGAGCAGATTGATAAGATGCACTGACTGCTAAAAAGTCTTATATAATAATAACTGATAGAAATTTTCTAATGGCCGCCAGAGTTTTTTGTGCTTAAGCAGAGACAGCGGTCCGAATAGGTAATAGAGAATCGATTGTGCCAATAACGTCAAGCCTACTGTCGATTTCTGTCTCCTAGCAATCGCAATGATTTTACAGATCGATATGATCGCCGAAAAGCACAGGGATACCAAATCGAGTTATTTACTTGATTAAATGTGATTGCTACGGCACGGTAATGAAAGTTATATCTATCAGTTGATCTCATTCGTAAAGTTTTAAGAGAAAATTCTTCTTGGCTACTATACGATAGAGTGTCATGAACGAAAATCTCAGTATGTTGTTTTGTCATAAACAAAACTTTTCGTGGAAATCGTCGTGGCTCCTCGCGCGTACCATAAAGAAAAATGACATTCTGTTAACGATAGCAAATCTTTGCCCCAAGTTGCCGCGCACAACTACCACTAGAAGCCACAGTAAAGTTACTGCGTGCGAAAGATTAACGACAGCATCAGCTTCTTTGTAGTTTTTGTTCAGCAATAAAACAATGAAATGATTTTGGATAATTATTTTGTGTTTTTTCGCCTGATGTGCAAGCAGACGATTAATTGAACAGCAAGGAAGCCTTCATAACATAGTAACGATACCGTCAGTTTATGGATAATTTTTTTGAAGCTTAGTAACACAAAATGAAACAAAATTTAATGGAGACAAAATGCTTTTATTGCTTAACATACGGAACTTGAATTTTGTCATGTTTAAGGTTAATAATAACTTTGTTCTTTTTACGAATGTATTTTTATTGCCTCTTAAA